CGGGTATTTGCATAATTCCGCTAATTATTTAAGCCACGTTATACATTCTCCATATTTTTTATATTGTTATTCCAAACAGTGTATACACACACACAAATACAACGCGTATTTGTCCATAAATTCATTCTAGCAGTTTTCACCAGTAAATTTAGTTCTTGACCAAAAAAAATTGAAACTGCACCCAAAAAAAAAAATAGAATATAAAAAAAAGTTAAATGTAATTAATTTGCCAATGCAATTTATTCACATTTGTGTGAGCGCACATAGAGGGGTTTTCGCGAGGCTTGGCAATTAATTGTCGATGTTGACATTGGAAAATTGAAATACAAAAAAAGCGGAGGAATTTTCATCGGCTATAAATTTATCATTTCAAATGCGTTTTGCAGTTTCAAAACATCCTCTTCGATGTAATAATACGTTTATTTCGTTTTTACCATATTGATTTATTTATTGTCTCAGATTTATTGTAACGTCTTTTGCAAGGACACGTGGGTTTAATAAGTACTTGTTAGTATTATTTGTATCTTTATTTTTTGTTGAAAACTTATGGATTATTGTTGTAGCAATTTCGTCGAGCTGTAATTGGGCATTTAAGGGACGCTAATGTACAGCTTTTACAAGCGACTTAATTGACATTTAAGTGCTCCACTCTTCGGCTCCTTTTGCTGCTGCATAAACTGCACTCGCATTGGGCAAACAAAAGCTCACGTTCTCCACACTTTTATACCAAATGGTATTGCATTACGATTCAATTGTCGCAAGGAATATCTCAACTGCAAACTAACAATCCTGAATAAAATACTTCAGCTTAATAAGCAATAATTTCATTGCGAGAACAATGAAATTATTGCTTATTACAGTAATACTAGGTTGTCTTTAGTTAAATCAATTTTATATAATTATTGAATACGCAGAAAACTACATACTTTACAAGTTTCTCAATTATATCCAAGTGTAAGTAAATTATGTCTTATTTATTAATTATTAAAACATTTCAACATTTTATGTAAATATTTATAAAAAGGCGAAAAGATAAAATTACGCATCCACAATTATGTAATTTAAACTGACATTAAATGTATTGATCAATAGTTTTTATTCATAAACACAACCTTCTCTACATATTTGATGTTAAGTCTATGGAAATCGGAAGTTTTTGTTTTTTTAAAAGTATTTTTTATTATTAAATCGTTGCAACATTGTTCTAAATAAATCATAATGTTATAACAGTAATATTATTATAATATTTTTATTTATAATATAGAATTGGGCTTTGATGCAATTATGTGATGGTAACCAAATTTGTAATGTAAACTGATATTAAATTTATTGATCAATATCGTAAATGTTGTTTCACAATATACATTTTATGCTAAGTCTATGGAAACCAATAACTTTGTTAGGTCACGTTATTGAAGCGGATTTAACAATTTACGCTTCGAATCCTATATAGTCTTTATTAATTAACACTTAATTACAATGTTGTTTTGTTTCAATATGATGAATATAAATTCATGCCAATATATGCAAATCACTAGAAAATAGATACATTTTCAATTTTTATAATTATATATAATTAATATAAATGTTGAGCAAAATATTGTATTTTTTTAATATTTAATAAACGGGTCATTTTGACGTTAGTTCAATCAAAAATCATATACGTATTATTATAGAAGGATTTTCCTTAAACGAGTTAAACGTCAAATTCAAATAGAAATTCGCAGACTAATCCTATTAACATCATTATACGTTTTTGTTATTTTTATTTATACCTACACCTAGTTTATTGGCTCTATGTTATCATTTAAGTTTGATATGTTTGATGTAATCCAATAAAAATATTATATAACTATTTTTATTGATAAAATCTTAAATAAATCTCTATTTTATATGTTATTCACAACTGAAAAAACAATATTTTAAGATTGATTTTTTTTCAAATATAATCAATATCTTTATTAAGATTATTATAATCAGTAATAAATGTGTCTATGTTTTGATTGTTCTTTATTTTGTAAACAACGTTTGACATGGCGCTAAATTGCTTTTAATCCGTTGTTAGCACGCACTGTATTCACCATTTGCGTTATTATTGTAGACGCAAATTTCAACGAGCGAAACTATTATAGTCACGTTCTCCAGATTACGCAGACCAGAACACGCAACTCGCAACCCTTCCACCCCAAAAACACTTCTGCACAACCCCAAAATAATTGATCTACTCAATTAACGACGAACATCTTACTTTCCTATCGTTAAATGTATTAAACTGTCGTCAAATGCTATTCCCTATTTTATTACCAAAGTTTACAAATTCTTTCGAAATACTAAGCATTGAATCATTTAATTTAATACAAACATTTCTTTAATGGAAGTTCAATTTATTATCACTGTTATAAAATTAAAGACAAAATGGTAAGAAATTAAGAAAAATATTGGAATGTAGTATTTTCCGTTTAAAATAGTCAAATTCTTGTTTAATTTTTAAACAATATTAACAATATTGTGATAATCATATAATAATGTATAATTTCTATGTTTTATCGCTAAATAATAATCTTTTTGTTTTAAATGAAATCTATTATATGGAACATTCTAATAAATACTAACTATGATGAGGGAGATATGGAATTAACACAAAAACTATAATTGAACTCATTTAAAGTACAAATGAATTCAACTATTCGAAATATCACGTTCCGTGCGTAAAATCAATTCGACAATGTTAATTTCTCGTACAAATATCCCTTGTTTTCTGCAAATTTTCGTTACGATCAAATGAAAGTTGTGTACGTGTGTTGCGTCAATCAGACTGTAGACAAATACAATGCGCGTTAATTGTTGTTCTTTGCATCAGTTCGCAATCGTTTTGAATAAATAAGCGTGATTAAATTTGCTTTTTGTATTATTCTCTTTTTATGGGATACGTTCAACGTATTACACAATAATTATGTGTTAATTGTTAACATGTGACAACAACCAACATAGACATAAAATACAAGTAATAATTACTATTTTATGTAGAAACAAAATATGATTTACGACGAGGGGAAATTAAAATTAGTAACGCTTTTTAAAATATGTACAATTCAAATAAAAATTGTAAGTATTGTATAGATTGAATTATTTCAATCTATATATTTAACTAGAAAAAATCTACTATTTTATTTCACATTTGCTTCATTTTATTAATTATGTAAAGCAATTGTTATTGTGTATATATCTAAAAAAAATATATATTGTTTTTTTAAGCTTATGGTAAATACAAACAATAGAGTAGAACCTGTTTTTGTGCGGTTCTTTTTATGCGGTTGATGAAAACAATTCCAACGGCGTTTGCACCATTGTAATGTTTTTTTTTTATCAGTATGTATATGCACAGCCTGCTCAAACGATTATTTTAGTCGATTTTGAACCATTTCATTATAAGAAGATGCGCGTTTTGGATTAACACGAGTAGCAGTGAATTATGTATGTGTAATTTCTCCATATGTACAATGATAAATTAAATGTTTTTAAAATGTTTCTATGTGTAATGTAATTATTTATTTTGTATGGATGCACTTTCTGATGTATTTCGTACATGTTTCACGTATTTTATAAATGCGATTATTTTTATGCGGTCTCTATTCACCGCATAAAAAAGTTTCGGTAATGTATTATACAAAGTTATTTGTTATATGTAAGAATTTATGAAAATTTTGAATATTTTTTTTGTGCGATTTCTTTTATGCGGTCCCTACCTACTGCATAAGAACAGGTTTTGTTAGACTTATTTTTATTAATGATTTTACATAATAATACAGAAATTTTGTTTAATTATTTATAATGTTATAATAATGATTGCAAAGTTTATAAAAAGAATTGAATAAATGTAAAGAAAGAAACTGATTCATTTAAATTATGTAGTTCATAAAAAACGTCTCGTAAAAATGCGTTTCTGAGTAATATAGTTTTCCAGCATAATTTTATTAATATATAACCCATTTGTACTTTACTGTAATTTTATGATAACCATGAATTATGGTGATTACTTCATAAATAAGTTAGCGATTTGGCTAGTTATAACCTATTTTAATAATTTTATTACATGTACTCACATAAACTAACTCCAAACAACACAAATAAATTTAATTAATTTTTATTGAAATAAATGTGTGAAAATGTACTTTCTAAATATTTAAATGAGTTGTTTAAATATTACTAAATTTGTGTAATTAACTATAATAAATTTAATTGCTGCGATAAGATTTAGACAGAAGATTTGTTGGTTGGCTTAAAGGGAACTTCCTAATAGTAATAAATAATATCGGAATGGCTAGGTGGGAATAAGATCAATATCTAATAGCTGGTAGTCACGAAGCTACTAAATTATATTATGATTCGTACTTATATGTATAACTTATTTTGTACTTAAAAATATTACAAAAGGTTTTATTATAGTTTCATGTATATTATGATGTGTGCTTATTTATTTACAAAATAAAGACGACCAGTGAAATGTAAATAAATTTCTAAACCAATGTTTTACTGAATTAAGTAGAGTCACGGGATACTACGGCCATGACCAAGTGATTAGTACCATTAACTTTTACCGCAGAAGAAGAAACAATATAAATTACAGAACGCAAACATTAACACGACTAATAAAATATATCTACAACGTCGGCATTTATTAAAGGCAAATGTAATGCATAAAATCCGGATTTCTTTCAAATTTTATTTATACTAATTGAGATGTTTCATTTACGTGTACAGAATGCGAATTATCAAATTCACGGATAGACGAGACGCGCGATATTTGAATAATTGTGTATGCATACGCGTTTAGTTTTATTGCGGTCTATAAAAAAAAGTCCCCAAGGAAATGACATCAATTTCAAACATTCCGTTTTACATTCAGATTAATGCTGTTGCAAGCGAACAGCATTGTTTGTAATATCGCCGCGTCGGATCGTCGTTTTTATGAAACTGTATGGAATAATAGTAAAACTCACCTGGATTTTTGGTGCTCGAAAACATATTCCATTTCGAAAACATCTTCTCCCAAAAAAAAAAATGATGATGGAAAGCGAAGAGAAGAGAGAAGAAAATAACAATAACAACAACTAGACTGGGCTGCGGTGATTGCTCAGAGGCGATTGCATTGCATAATCTGACCAAGTGCGTTTTTGTCCGTTACCATGGCTTAGAGATCGTAGATAACGGCGATGCTGGTAAATGGATGGACACAAATGGCCTCTGGTCAAAACTAGGAATGCCCACGACGTCCAATTCCGCCTCGCACACTCGTCAATTAACGAAAATTGCCCGTTTATCGTGCGATTACTGAATTTAGTCCTAAGTACCCATCCACTGATTAATATACGGAGCTAAAAGAAAAATTGCGATGATTTGAAACCTGCTACCAGCATTAATCACACCAAATGTTACGCGCTAATCTCGCATTCCTACGAAATTCGTGACAATTCACCGACAATTTACCCGACAAAATCCTCGACAGACTTAAAACGATAAGCATTTGGTGAAGTGTGCTATGCATAAACAACAATAAAAAAAAATACATACACAATTTTGATTAGATTAATGCATACTGCAAATAATTTAACATCCAGATATAAATGAACTGCAACTTTGGAAAACTATACGTATACGCACGGGCAGCCCTCACTTTGCATACAGGATATACGTCCTAAAGTGTAATTCGTTAAGCGGATTTACGCCTATCTATATTACACGTCAGCGAATTGCACAATTGCAAATGCAATGACGGAACAGAACAATCAAACAAATCGATTTTATAACTTTATCATTTGAAAACTTCGTAATTGTTCTCATATGCATAATAACAACCGAATAACATAGAAATTAATTCGGATTGGTCTCGTGTTTGTTTGTTCAGACTTGGATTGTAATGAGGAGCTGTAAAGGAAGTAATCATTACGAACATTTAGTCCGAAAATAATCAGTTTACATAACAATAGCTGTATGACTCATATATGTGTACTGGACTACAATGGAAATACACCTTCAAAACATTTCCAAATTGATTATAATAGCACACATTTTTGGATATAGAACAACCTTAGAAATTAAATGCTTTCGACTCGACGTAGTTAGAATTATTATAGAATTAACTAGCATTTATTTCCAATAAAATCCGAGGTGAATTTATATGATACAATATTGGAATTTACATTTAAACATTGCAAGAATTTCAAATAATCTAAAAAGCCTTGAATTTCTTTCATTTTTTTATAACATTCTCAATATTGATTTCACACTTGAATTACTAAATCACCAGAAAATGCATATTGTAATATCCATAATTCACATAATAATTTAACTCAAGATGAAAGAGATTATGATTTTTAAAATAAATTAAGAAAGAATACGTTATGTACTTTATACAATGCAATATTTGTACTTGGTTAGTTCTCTCCGATTATTTAATTAGTATTAATATAAAAAAACAGATAATAAGTATACGAAATTAAATAATTTATGTGAATATATTTACTGGTTAAGGATATTTTTACTTAACATGTGTTTTTTATAAGTTTTTAATTATAGCAATATCATCTATTATATATCAAATACTTAGCTACATTAGGAAACAAAATATTATTTGATTTAATATTTTAAATATTTGAGTTAATTTTGACATAATTATTAACTTGAGTTATAATTATGTGTTTGTTATTTAAAATAAATCAAAAGATAAGATTGTAAATATATCCTTATATGTACGAAGGTTTAAAATCAATAAAATAAGTTACGATAAAAGATTGGTCTTGAAATGATGATCGATGAAATTGAAAAAGAATGAGTATTACAGAACTTCATAAGTTAGAGAATGGAATCGCGCTGAGGTTATGAAATACAGATTGATACACTTTATTTGTTCAGACACAAAAGTTGCAAAAGCAATCGCAATTCAATACTATACAAAAAGCAACAATTTAAAAATGAATATTACAACTTAGATCTTTTCAATAAAATTGAAATATTTATTACCTAACAAATCGCAATTTAATTCCGTCACTCAGTAAGTAACAGATGTCCTATTTCAACTGGACGTCTCTCTTTCAAGCTCACCTTTTTATTCATACCCTTTCGCAGAGGATCCGTGCAGGATTTTAACACCTGTCGGGATTTTACATTGTTTCAGCAGTCTACCCTCGTTCGCCAAATTTTATACTTTTTGCTAGTGCCTTGCCTTTGTAATTTAGCTACCCTTAACTTTGCTTTAACGGCGTGAACAAACTTTGATGGTCAATCCTTTTAAAGGACATAACAAATGGCGGCACATTTATTTTGAAGTATTCTCTTCAAGAAAATTAACAAATAAATTATAAATTAAATTGATTTCAACGATGCAACATTTTACTACTCCATTGTATTAAGCTTTTAATGGAATGTAAGAAATGGATAATTTAAATCATTTCATTTCCGTTGATTTATGAACATGAATATACGTATATAAATAATGCGACTTAGATAGTCGGTAATTGCTACTAAATGGGTCATTGGACTTTACCATTTATTTTTATGAAGGAAGTCGTGGGTGGTGTCTTCTTTGTATACGATAATTATTTCTTACTCTATAGTTTTAACAAAATTTTGTATTAATTATTTTGATATTTTTTATTACTAATTTATAAAATACAAAAAAATAACTAATATTAACAATTTGGGAAATGTTAAGAACAATTTGAATAATAAATCACATTTTCTTTATATTAAATTAATTGAAAATATAATACTGAATATTTCTTACTCTTTATTCCTCAATCGATCGATAATCGATTATATAATTTCCAGAATTTTAACTTAATCTGTTCATTAATACTATTCTGTATTCTTGTCTTGAAAATATCTCATAAATAGTCAAATTTTTATTGATTGCTTTGAAACTAAAATAAAAATGTTTATTACTTATTTCTTTAAAATAATAATACCTTTTGTTAGTATTATATAATTACATATAAAAGTGTAAACTAAGACATGAAATATTTCGCACAGTTCTGCTTCGATTAGTGCAGTTGGAAAGTGCCAAATCACAGTAATTTTAATTGAGCAAAACAAAATTCTCTTTTTGTGCTATTTATTTGTATGCGGTTTTAAAGTCCTCAATTAGTCTGGTTTCAAACAGTGCGGAAACATTTTGGTGAAACCGAATACCCGCACTATACGAAATATTGCTGTATTCAAACTATCAGGAAATTCATAATTAACTTAAAAAAATGTTGATTAAATTAATAAAAAAAGAGTGTAAGATTTAGTACACAAACTTTTCTTTTTATGCGGTTTTAAAGTCCTCAATTAGTACGATTTCAAACAGTGCGGAAACATTTTGGTGAAACTGAATACCCGCACTATACGAAATATTTCTGTATTGAAACTATCAGTATATACATAATTAACATAAAAATGTGAATAAATTAAGAAAAATAAAATGAATATAGATGTGAAAGTGATGTGTAAATTTATATAAAAAAAATAATACGTATTAGAGAAGAGTGTAAGAGTTAGTACACAATATATTTTGTGCTATTTAGTTTTATGCAGTTTTAAAGTCCTAGATTAGTCTGGTTTCAAACAGTGCGGAAACATTTTGATGAAACTGAATACCCGCACTATACGAAATATTGCTGTATTGAAACTATCAGTATATACATAATTAAAATAAAAAAATGTGAATAAATTAAGAAAAATAAAATGAATATAGATGTGAAAGGGATGTGTAAATTTATATAAAATATAATACGTATTAGAGAAGAGTGTAAGAGTTAGTTCACAATATATTTTGTGCTATTTAGTCTGGTTTTAAACAGTGCGGAAACATTTTGGTGAAACCGAATACCCGCACTAAACGAAATATTGATGTATCCTAACTATCAGGATATTCATAATTAACTTCACAAGAAAAACAAAATGAATATAGGCGTGAAAGTAATGTGTAAATTTATAACAAAAAAAACGGAATAGAGAAAAGTATAAGATAAATGAGATGACTTTGAATAAACAATTATTACGTTCAGAGATTGCAAGTATGAATTATAAATCAAGTTGACACAAACGATTCTCGGTGAGCTGTTTAGTTCTTTTTTTGTACATTTATTCGTTATCTAACGTTTATAAACATACTTTATAAGACGTTGATGTATGTTGCGATGTTTCTTGTAATGATTAATGAGTATAAAATGTTGTGGATAAAACGCGAATTGCAAGATAAGTTTTAAAAGCGATACGATATCAATTGTTACAACAATTAAAATGAAAATATTGTGTGTTTGCCGTTCTCATTTTATTGCACGGTGAAAACAATAAATATTGATCCACGTGCTACGAATATATATGTAATGTATTGAGATCATTGCCGACCAACGGAGACGACGTATTGACATTTCGCGTTCGGATGCTAACTAATTTTTGAAACAATTAGCGAATGAAGATTATGATGATGTTGGTGATGCTGCTCCAACACGATGAGGATGAGATTGGTGCGCGTGTCCGTCCGTTCGTTCGTCTTCGAGGACGACGGAGAGAGCAAATTATTATTACATTCTGCCCACCGAAGTACACGTCGGCCTCGTGACTTTGGTGCGCAAATTTATGTCAATGCCAAGGGAAGTCGTTTAGATTATCAACATTAATGATTAGATTAATTCCCCTCATGCACTTGTGATATTATCAATATCGCATCGGAGTGGAAAAGTTTCATCCAAAGAAAACAAACAAAAACACGTATAAAAATTTGCCGAAAAACTAGTTATCGAACGAATTGGACTATGGACGTAACAAGTATACTTAAAATCTATTAATCTACACCACCAATGTTTGGTATCATAACGTATAATTATTGAACATTGTCATAGTTATCAAAACACTTAGTTATAAACTATTTGAAATATGCTTTTAATAAAATACAATATAATTTATTAATTATAAAAATATCATCAGCTATAATTAATAGTTTAGATTTTCTTTTCACTTAATTAAAATCAATTTAAATTATTACTTTAACAAATATTTTTTTAAGTACAAATATTTAAATGTCAATTGTCCTATTTCCAATTGCCTTAACCTTTAATTACCTTTATTTTTTTTTAAGAAATGATACCATATCTATATTTTCTTGTCCCCATCTATAAAACATAAAGTAACATATGCCCAAAATGTTTTGTCGTGGCCGACCAATTTATTGTCATCTATTGTATAACTAATATGTATATTTGTTAGGGCCATGACTTTCCTCTTAATTGTTACAAATCATATTTAATGTATCCATCAAATATACAAACGGATACTTGTACGTGATTATTTAGAATAACTTGTAGAATATTCCAAACGACG